ACACACACACACACACACACACACACATATATATTTAAAAATATTTAATATATCGATGTTTATTTTTTAAATAAATAAATCTCTATATATGTAGAGATATATCTCTATATCTCTATATATTAATATATTATAATTTTATATTTTATATAAAATTATGTAAGAAAAATGCTGCTGAATACAAATCCGTTGGCAAATGTTCGCTATCATATCACGTCACAATTTGGAGAATATCAAAGAGATAGCTCTTAAAATTGTCATTTTTTTACCACTTTTACGCCATTTTTCTCAAATTGTGATGTGATAGCCCACTTTTACCAACGGATTCGTATTCAGCAGGTAAAAATACATCAAAAATTCGACATTCACACTCGTGTTGCAAAGTGATGTTCCATAGTTTAAGATGATCGAATAATCTTAAAGTAGCTAACTTCGCTGATCATTTTGATTGTCATAATCATCGATTTGACTCCATTCTGATGTATCATTGATCTTGTCTCGATGAGGAGAATCAAATGAAACTATTAATTCATAGTTCCATTTTCGGACAGTTTTTGACATGTTCTTTTGGATATGCTCGAATATCTCATAAAGCAATATAATCTCGAAAAAAAGTTTCAGACAAAAGTTGTAAGATTTCGAAGAACCCTTGAATATAATTATAATATTGATTCATTTATAAACAAAGTCACTGTTGAGATTTTTTATAGTCGTCATTTTCTTTAAATCATATATTTTTTATTACGCAGTATAATTCTTCTAATTATTCTGGATATAATAGTATTAAAATAATAAATATCAAAAAGTTAATAATTTAAAATATATTTTATATTTTATTCTGGTATATATTGATATAATATAAAATATCTGGTAAATTATTAATTTTTTTATAATCAACTGAGAGAATTATAGCCAATTCTTCGGCAAATAGAGTTGCTAAATTTCAATATAAAATACAATCAAATAATTACATCACCAACCATGCGCCACTATTTTTCCTATGGGGGAGATAATAAAAGGGATTTTAATCTTATTATCTAATTGTTGTAAAACCACTACGTTGTAAGTCTGCTAAAAATAGTGGCGCGTGGTTGGTAATATAATTGTTTGAATTTATTTCATATAGAAATTTAGCAACCAAGATCCTGCTTGCCGAGGAATTAGAATATGATTCTTTCAGTTGTTTATTAACACATACTTGACTTGTATCAATGAATTGTTTTTTATAAACGTATATTAATATTTTTATGTAGAATATTGAAACAAATCAATTGGTGTAGAAAAAAAATATAGTTGTCTTAAGGGACTTTTTATCTTTGCTGATCCTAAAATTAATCTATTTTTCTTTATTTTTAGAAATATATTCTGTATGAAAAGATACGGGTTCTTGTATACAATTATATAAAATTTGCACATCAAAAAGCATTTTTTTGTTTATAAAAAGATATATGTTAATATCTCAAAATTGGTCAAATTAAAGGCCATCAGAAATGCATATTTCCATTATGGAAGTAATTGAGCTTTTGTAAATTATTTAAATTCAATATTTTTTCGATTTTTATCAGTGTCATGATGTCTGGAACTAGAACAAAGCTAATGGTATATAATTTATAGAATAACGGTATTCTAAAAAAAGAATTTGATTCTTTACTTTAGAAATTTGTAATTTAAAAATTAAATTAAAATTTTTTTGTTCATAAATAATCGAATTTTTATTGTAAAAATGTAAATGTAAATGTAATGTAGTTCCAGTATGCGCAGAAGTTAGAATCAAGGAAAAAAAGATATCGTGATCAGTTTTTTTATCACTTCCAGCTCGGAAAATATAGTTTCAAATAAAATGCTTTCAAAATTTTAATTTTATTTTGTTTGTATATAATAAAAGTTTCAGTACATTTACTTATTCTGCATTACCGGAGCTATATAATAAACTTTCTTTTTCAAAGAAATAATTTCCCGCCTGTTTTTCCAATCGTCAAATAGTTCTAGCTTTGAACAAAATGTTCATGCGCTCATTTGCATCCTTCTGTATTGTCTGTCTTTTAATTCGACAAATATTTTGCTGTTTGTGCAACACGAATACTCAAGACGTTCATTATTTTTAAAAAAGATTTTAAAAAAGATTTACAAAATCATCATTGAGGGTGCAGGTTAAAAAAATTATTTGCAAAATAAATACTCATGTATTGATATCGCTATAAAGAGTTAACGTAGAAGACATGAATTTAATTTGTCTTTTATTTGCACCGTTCATCTTGCTTCGCTTGTCTTTTCATTTGATTCTTGTTGTTGTTCAAATGCGATTTTATTATAATAAAGTTAATACATTATAAAGGAAAAGTTTTTTTGTAAGTTTTTTTTAAAATAAAGCTAACATTGATTATGAACTATAGAAAGTATTCATTGAAAAATTTGCAAAAGATATTCTGAAAAATTATTTAAATTTTTAAGTGTGTTTCGTATTTCGTGAATAATCACGAGAAGATATTCAAGACGTTTGATTCTCACAATTATGTTCTCCTCTCCAAACTTAAGGCAGGAAGAATTATACGATTTGGAAAACTCCAATGGAGAATCTGCTACATTAGATGGATTATGGAAGATCAACAAGGAATCGAAACAAATGAAGACAAAATTACAAAAGCAAAGGCGAAAATAATCTTAAGTGTTGATGAAATGTTAGGCCTGTTCTTTTTGGCTGAACTGATTTTACTATTTCACATTTATCTTTTTTCTTAGACTGGAAGAAGAAAGATAAACTCTGAATTAGTGCAGCCAGTTCAGCTAAAAAGAACAGACCATTATATATACATTTTTTTAGCAGAGACAACACAAGAAACATGGAAAAATTTGCCACAAGCATTCGAGGGTTCTCTCATTAGAAAGATGAGTTTTTTGCGTAAAATTATGATCACAAGATTAAAAACTAGCGAGTCGATAAATAAATACATTACAGAGATAATGTCCATAGTACATCAAGTAACAGTAATTGATTTTGAAATAAATTATGGAATAATTGGAAACTGTTTTTTTGACAAGTCCTCCTGATAATTATCAGTCCATGATTATGGCATTAGAAAATTCAGAAATACTAATTGCGGGTGACTCAATTAGAATGAAATTTTTGCAGGAATCTGCCAGCTTAAATCCATCTTGAATGGAAATTCTGCTTTTTACAGGAAACCAATTCAAAAAAGCGAAGCAGAAGTTTCGATCAAAAACTTTAATATGTTGAATCTGTGGCAAATTTAGTCACTAGCGAATGATTATGCTGATAAGAAGAAAGAAGAAAGAGAAAGGAAAAAACCCGATCATCGCGAAAAGAGTGAAAGCAGTACAAAAGTGTCTTTTCTGATAAAAGATTTTTCTTACTGAAAGTATTTTGAATATAAGAGAAGCTTGGATAGTTGATTCAACGGCATCAATCTATATAGGGTGTCCCAAAATTACCGGAGGATCTTTTATGAGCGGATTTTTTGGAAAATTCTAAGACAAAAATCTAATACGAAAATGTCAAAGCTATACTTTCCAATACTTTTCATTACTTTTTAATATTTTTCAAATTATAAACGAATAAAGTTGATTAGTTATAGCGGCTAGATTTTGCACGCTCAGGCACGTTATATCATATGGCAGTGAAGATGCTCTCATACATTAACTCATTTTTTGAATATTAATATAATTTTGCGTGTAACGATAAGGAGATCACTTTTAAATTCCGTCTTGCTTATCTGTGATTATTTAATTTAAATTATACATAAGATTAATATCAATCTAGTATTAAGCTATACGTACATCAAATTGTCAAAATTGTGAAATAATGAAGAAATAATGAAGGCACTGCCATATGATATAACATGCTTGAGCGTGCGAAATCTAGTTACTAGTCAACTTTATTCGTTTATAATTTGAAAAATATTAAAAAGTAATGATTAACTCGACATTTTCGTATTAGGATTTTCATCTTAAAATTTTCCAAAGATTTCGCTCATAAAGATCCTCCAATAATTTTGGGACACCCTATATATCACCGAGCAAGAATTTTTCGACTCCTTCATCGCGTTAAATAACTCAGAAGTAATAAGCAAACGATGTAAACTTAAGTGTGAAAGGAAAAGATACTGTAAAATTATCAATATTAGTTAATGGAAAGAAGTGTTTTATACTAGTAAATGATGTTCGTTATGTTAACTTAAACTTGTTATCAGTACAAAAAGTAGCTAAAAAGAATTTTACTGTTAAGTTTGATTTTTACAGAATTTGTAAAATAACTGATAGCAATAATAAAGTAGTTGCAATTGTAAAACAAAAAATAACATTTATGAATGGTTACAGCCGAAAGATTTAGTGTATAATTGTAAGACAATAGATTCAATTAATTGACATAAGCGGTCAGGACATTTAAACAAATATAGTATAAAAATCCTACGCGATAAATATGCATAGTTAAGCTTTGAACTCGAGCAATCATGCAAGATTTATATAAAAGAAAAGCAAGACAAGACCTTTTTTTACAGTTTGGAAGGAAAGAAAAACATTAAAATTATTACAGATCCATACAAATATTTGTAGACCGATGGAAGTAGACCCAATCGGTGAAACTAGATACTTTATTGTAGGATATATATGTATTTATTGTAGGATATATATGTACACATACGTACGATTAGT